AATTCATATGCTGAAACTCTACCCTCCCCCCTTGTGATAGTGTTCAAAGGTGGGGCTCCCATGATGGAATTAGTGCCCTTAAAAGAGTCTGGAGAGAACTTGCTTCCCTCTCTGTTCTTCTCCATGTGAGGCTACAATGAGAACTCAGAGTCTGCACTCTGGAACAGACCCTCACCAGAATGCGACCCTGCTAACACCCTGATCACAGATGTCCAGGCTCCAGAACCACGAGAAATAAATTTCTGTTGTGTATAAGCCACCCAGTCTATGGTACTTTTCTAGAGCAGCACAAAATGGACCGAGACATAAAATAAGGGAACACTACAAATCACCATGCTCATAAAGTCTAAGGCTTAGAAAAATGGACAAATTCCTCAAAACTGCACAAACTACCAAAACTCAATTACGATGAAATAGACAATTTGAATAGCCTTATAACCATTAAATCCATAAAAGGAAAATTTATACTTTTTTTTTTTTTTTTTTGCGGTACGTGGGCCTCTCACTGTTGTGGTCTCTCCCGTTGCGGAGCACAGGCTCCGGACGCGCAGGCCCAGTGGCCATGGCTCACGGGCCCAGCCGCTCCGCGGCACGTGGGATCTTCCCGGACTGGGGCACGAACCCGCGTCCCCTGAATCGGCAGGCGGACTCTCAACCACTGTGCCACCAGGGAAGCCCCCCATAAAAGGAAAATTTGATGAACTGGACCTCATCGAGGGTTAAAAGTTTTGCTCTGTGAAAGATCATGTAAAGAGGATGAAAAGATAAGCTACAAACTGCAAGGTAGTGGGTCAGACGCAGGGATAATTGTGCTAATGGAGATTCAGATTAACCAAGCCTTGTACAAGATTCATTCAGTCAGAAATATTTTGTGAGCTCCTATGAAGTGCCAGCCAGTGTTCTGGGCGCTTCTGCAGTGTTCTGCAGGGGAGACGGGCAAAAAACAGAGCAGGAAGCAAAATGTGTAGTAAAGTCAGGAGATGCCACGTGCAGGGGACCAAGAAATGCGGCAGCAGGGCTGGGGATCCAGCAGATGGGGATGTGGTTTAACCCTCCCATGCCGGCCTCCTCCCTGGCCCCTCCATGTCTCCCTTACAGTAGCCGCCCTCTGGCCTCGGACCTTGGTTCTCTTTTCATTCTCCTCTCCCTCCATTGGTGACCTCATTCTGTGGGTGATCTAAACACTGTATTAGTCAAGATTCTCAAGAGAAACAGAACCAATAGGATATATAGAGATAAATGAGAAGGTTTATTGTAAGATTGGCTCACTTACAGTGACGGAAGCCAAGAAGTCCCGTAGTCTGCCATCTGCAAGCTGGGAACCAGGAAAGCTGGTGTGTGATGCAGTCTGAGTCTAAAGGCCTGAAAATTGGGGGCGGGGGGCCGACGGTGTTCAAGCAGAGAGAGCGAATTCTCCTTTCCTCTGCCTTTTCTTTCTGTTTAGATGATGCCACCCAAATTGGGGAAGGCCATCTGCTTTCGTTAGTCAATTCAAACGCTAATCTCTGCCAGAAACACCCCACAGACACACCCAGAAATAATGTTTTACCAGCTATCCAGCCACCCCTTAGCCTAGTCAAGATGACACATAAGATTAACCATCACAAACACCATCTCTCTGCAGGATACTCCCAACTTCACAGATCCTGCCCAGATCTCTGTTCCGAACCCTGGTCCACGCATCCCACTAACCAGTCAACATCTCTACTAGGTCCTCCCCCAAACTCACCCTGATCTCAGGTGGCTGTGAGCGACCACAGTCAGCAGCAGCTTGAAGTGGGATCTCAGTTCCCTGGGAATTGAACCCGGACCACAGCAGTGAAAGCACCGAATTCTAACCACTAGACCACCAGGGACTATTAGCTAGGAGCAGGGCCCTGGCTCGCATCTGCTTTGAAGAAAGAATCAGCAAAGAGATGAAAAGTAGTGAGGCAAGTAAAGTGTTTATTAGGAGAGAAGAATAGAAAGCACAGGCAGGCTGAGAGACAGAGGCGTGTACTTTGGGGGGTGGTTTAAACCATATGGGGGAAGTTCTAGGTTTCCTCTGGCCAATCATCTTGCTTTGTCTGGCTCTGAGTCCATATCTGGTCTGACTCAGGGCCCTCCCCTGTGTGCACATGCATCTTTTAGCCAAGATGGATTCCAGCGCAAGGATCTCTGAGAGGTTAACAGAACATATTATGGTCTAGCACCCCCTCCCTTTAACCTTTCTGCACATGCATAGCCTGGGAGGGGGTCTCCTTGGCCCCAAAAATGAGAACTATGTGGTCTCTTTGTCTTTTATGCCAGCAGGGCTCAGCCCCTCTCTGTTTCTGCCGTTCCTGTTCCCTCGAAGCGTCCACAGGAGACAAAGTCCAGCTGCTTATCCTGTTCCTGTTATTATCTTTATTTTTAAAGCATAAACAGGAGGTTAGTTGTAAATGTCTAAACTGGGGCCCGTCTGTCTCCTGCCTCAACCCCACCCACACACTCCCCAGGTCAGCCAATGGACGCTCCATCTTTCAAACCTTACAAGCATCCTCAATGCCTCTCGTTTACATACAGCCCAAACTCAAAAGAAGGCTGCACCTCTCATCTGGATTACTGTGGAGTCTCCTGGGTTCTACCCAGTGATTCTATAAAAATGTAACTCAGAGGGCTTCCCTGGTGGCGCAGTGGTTGAGAGTCCGCCTGCCGATGCAGGGGACGTGGGTTCGTGCCCCGGTCCGGGAGGATCCCACGTGCCGCGGAGCGGCTGGGCCCGTGAGCCATGGCCGCTGAGCCTGCGCGTCCGGAGCCTGTGCTCCAAGACGGGAGAGGCCACAACAGTGAGAGGCCCGCGTACCGCAAAAAAAAAAAAAAAAAAAAAATGTAACTCAGAGCTCACAGTAGCCTTACAGTAAGTCCCCTACCTGCGAACCAGTTCTGTTCCGAGAGCGTGTTCATTAAGTCCAATTTGTTTGTAAGTCCAACAAAGTTAGCCTAGGTACCCAACTAACACAATCGGTTATATACTACTGTACTGTAATAGGTTTATAATACTTTTCACACAAATAATACATAAAAAACAAAGAAAACATTTTTAATCTTACAGTACAGTACAGTAGTACAACAGCTGGCATCCAGGGGCTGGCAACGAGTGAACAGGGAGGAAGAGTTACTGACTGGAGGAGGGAGAGGAGGTGGGAGATGGCAGAGCTGAAGGATCTTCAGCAGTAGGAGACGGAGGGCGAGCTGCAAGTTCACTCACGCCTGACGGTGATGGCACAGGTTCTAGTTCTTTGCTGGATTCACTTCTATCTACCCTCTTGAAAAAATGATCCAGTGATGTCTGGGTAGTAGCTCTTTTTTTGCCCATCATAGACGACACGGTAGCACTGGATGGCATTCTGAACGGCTGCTGCAACCTTCGTGTACGTTCGGGTCCTGTGCCTCAAAAACTAACAGTGCCTCCTGAAATAAAGAAAATCCCCTTGGGCTTCCCTGGTGGCGCAGTGGTTGAGAGTCCGCCTGCCGATGCAGGGGACGCGGGTTCGTGCCCCGGTCCGGGAAGATCCCACGTGCCGCGGAGCGGCTGGGCCCGTGAGTCATGGCCGCTGAGCATGCGCGTCCGGAGCCTGTGCTCCACAGCGGGAGAGGCCACAGCGGTGAGAGGCCCACGTACCGCCAAAAAAAAAAAAAGAAAAGAAAATCCCCGTGTGCCGTTTCCTGCATCACGAATCTCTTTGGTTCTTCAGTTACTTCTTCCTCTTGTCTCTCTTTGTCCTTTCTCTGGGCCTCCAATTCCATCAGGTATTCATTAGGAAGTTCCACGTTCGCATCTTTGAAAGTTCGCAACTTGAAGGTTCCTACGTAGGTGATTTATTATATTCATAATGGCCAAAAAGCAGAAAAAACTGAAAGATCCATCCGCTGATGACTGAATACACCAATGTGGTCTATCCGTACAATGGAATACTACTGACCCATAAAAAGGAAAGCAGCACTGTCACAGGCTACAAGGATGAACCTTGAAGATGTTACGCTCAGTTAAAGAAGCCAGGCACAAAAGGCCACACATCCTAATTCGCCCCCTCCCCTCGCTGACCACCCCCTTCCTCCCGGGCTCTGCTCCTGCAACCTCCGCCCTCTTTGCTTCTGCTCTTGCTGTGGCCCCGCCCTTTTCCCCCCAAGCCTATACACCTGGCCCCTCACAGCCGGCACGTGCACCTGCCCCTTGGGACCCCGCCCATTCCCCATCCCCCTATCCTCTTGGCCGCGACTCGCATTAACTTCTGGCTTTCCTGCACTTTCTTATCTTGTGTCCCGATGCTGTAAGCTCCGGGCAGGCGGGGCCTTCGGCACTTTGTTCCCGATTTGTCTGCAGCACCTGCTGCGTGGTACACAGTAAGCGTCAGTAAACGCTAATAAGCATTCAGAAAAATAATGAGGATAACTTTAAAAAATCAAGTAGTTATTAAACTTTTAAAACTAAATAAAACTCTGAATAGTCTTTTCTGCACACAGATTTCCAGGGGGCACTAAAAGACATGCATTTTCACAAATGTTAATAAATAAATGCATTTATTATCGGCATCCGTAGTGCAATTTTCCACAGAAAACACAGCCCGCGCCCGGAGCGTAGGGACACCCAAGGCCGCAGGCCCCGACCCAGAGGCAGAAGGACGTCAGGGCGCAGGCGCAGAGGTCGCCCCAGTCCCACCGCCGTCAGCATGTCTGGTGCGCCTCCTAGCGGCGGCCGCAAGCCACGCCCCCACCCCCGGGCGGAAATGGCTACTGCTGGACTCGGGGCGCATGCGCGAGCCCCGGGAGTTCTCGCGAGAGAAAGCGGGCCCAAGGGAGACTTCCGGTGGGGGGCATCAGACGCTGGAAGTGGGAACCTCCGCTGCCAGGCCGAGGGGCGCTGGGCGCTAGAGGAGGCGCGGGCCGGGTCTGCGGGGGCGCGAGTCAGAGAGCGGGCGGCGGGCCGGGCCGGGCCGGGGGAAGCCAGAGGAGGGCCGGGCCCCGCCGCGCCCGCCGCCATGGACCCGTTCCTGTTGCTGCTGCACTCGGTGTCGGCCGGCCTGTCGAGCAGCGAGCTGACTGAGCTCAAGTTCCTGTGTCAGAGCCGCGTGGGTAAGAGGAAGCTGGAGCGCGTGCAGAGTGGCCTGGACCTCTTCTCCGTGCTGCTGGAGCAGAACGAGATGAGCCCCGAGAACACCGTGCTGCTCCGCGAGCTGCTCGTCTCCCTGCGGCGCCAGGACCTACTGCGGCGCCTGGAAGACTTCGAGGCGGGCGCGGCGGGCGGAGCCGCGCCGGAGGAGCGAGGTGGGGGCGGGGGCCTGAGGTCTGGGGGTCAGGCGGGGCCGCGCCGGAGGAGCCAGGCGGGGGCGCGGGCCTGAGGATTGGCGGGGCGGGCGAGGCCGCGCCCGAGGAGCCAGGTGGGGGGTGGGGACCTGAGGACTCGGGGGCGCAGGGGGAGGCAGGGTCAGCTGGACCAGCAGTAGTTTCGATCTTCCGGGCGCCTGACCTTTTCCGGGTTCAGTTTGCGTGGGTTTTCTCTAAACAGCCCTGGGAGACGGGTAATACACCAATTTTGCAAATGGGAGAACCAGAGTGCACAGAAGTTAACAGCCTAAGTTGCAGAGCATGGACACCCATCCCCCAGCCTCAGTATTTTCTCCACCTCCCCCCTCCCTCCGGGTGAGTTAGAGATTACTCGAAAGGAAAGGACATTGCTAACCTCCTACCGGAAGCGTCACAGCAGGTACGGGTTGGTTGATAAGGGACAGGTTTTGCACAGTGGGCCATCAAGGTGTGGTCCTGGCTCTGCCGTTGTCTAGCTGTGTGATCTCAAGAAATAACTTACACTTACCTTCCTGTGTCTCCATTTCCTCTTCTGTACAAGTGGTCAGTAACGCAGGTGCCCACCTCACAGAACTGGAGGAGTTGGCACACAGGCTGACAGCATATCAGGGATTTGTAGCTGAAAATGCAACTTTGCAGGAGCCTCTTCCAAGAAGCATTTTGTCCTTCCTCCTCTCCCTGCCCCCGTCCAGAAACAGCCTTTTGTAGTCTCTCATGCTGATCTCAGTAGTGACTTTTCAGCAGATGAGGACATAGTAGCCAGAGACTGAGGACTGGTGTCAGTCAGGACATCTTCCAGAATAAGAATCGGGGTGTTCAGGGCTGGCGTACAAACTACCGTATCTCGGTGGCCTAAAGCAACAGAATTTGATGCTCTTACAGTTCTCGGTCCAGTAGTCAAGTCAGGGTGTCAGTAGGCCATGCTCCCTCTGAAAGCTCTCGGGTAGGAGCCTTCATGCCTCTTTTGGTTTCTGGGGACTCCAGGCGTTCTTGGCTTGTGCCCGCATCAGTCCAGTCTCTGCCTCCATGGCACGTGGTCTTGTCACTGGATTTAGGGCTCACCTGGATAATCCAGGATGATCCCCTCATCTCAAGATCGTCAACTTAATCTAGCTACAAAGGCCCTTTTCCAAATAAGTTAACATTCACGGTTCCAGGGGTTTGACGTGGACATACTTTTTAGGGGCCACCATTCAACCCACTGTAGGGTGAGATGGGGGAGCAACTCCATCTGCCTGTCCTGAGTCGGTATCTCCGTTACAACACACCCCAACCATTAAGTCTTCAGAGCAGGTCACGCCTCTTGGGTAGTGTTTCAGGGTGTGGTTAGCTGGGGCAGGATTGGCCTCTGCGGGAGGACCTCTTGGTGCCCAGCCCTTGGGTCAGCACCGAGGAGCCCATCAGGGAGTGTGGGGTAACCTGTCTCCTAAAGAGCTCCCGTAATCTCTGCTCAGTCATTGTGTTCTTTCCCTCCCCAGACCTGCGGGCAGCGTTTGACATCATCTGTGATAACGTGGGGAAGGACTGGAGGAAACTGGCTCGTCACCTCAGAGTGTCTGACGCCAAGATTGAAGCCATTGAGGAGAAGTATCCGCGGAACCTGGCAGAACAGGTGAGGGAGTCGCTGAGGGTCTGGAAGAGCAGCAGGAAGGATGATGCGGCCGTGTCCCACCTGGTGAGGGCGCTCAGGGCCTGCCGGCTGAACCTGGTGGCAGACCTCATCGAGGAGGGTCAGCGGGCCCGGGCCCTCCAGAGCGAGAGTGGGGACCCTGTGTCCCTCTCTGAGTCCTGGGACTCAGACTCGCCCGCCTCAGGGGCCTCCCGATGACCCAGCTGCTCTTCTCCAGGACCAAAGGCATCTACCCGCTCTGAACTTCGGTTCCCTCCACCGCAGTTAACCACGTCCCATCCGTGCCAGCGCGTGAAGACCCGGCAGGGAGCCTGGTGAGGGCCTACGCGGGCTCTGGGCACTGTGATCAGCCTCAGAGGGAGATGCTTTCATCCCCGTTAAACAAGTTGCTCCCGGAGGACATTGCGGGCCACACCCAACAGTCGGAGGGACCTATAAAAGGTCCCTTAGGGTTAGGGTTGTAAACCTGGTCACTGTCCAAGTGAGGAAGTGCAGAGTCGAGCTGGAGGCAGGTCAGTAGTGATGGGGGGGCTGGGCTGGCGGCCGGCGCTGTCCAGCTCTGGAGCCCGCGCTTGGAACCACTGGCTCCTTCTGCCGTCTGCACGGTTGCCAAAGGCTTGGAGGCTGGCGGTGTAGACCCGTTTCCCAGGGCAGGTTGCGTGGGGGTGAGGCGATGCCTGTGAGGTGCTTAGAAGATGTGGACACAGGGCTGGGCAGATGCCAGTTCAGAGAAGTGTTATGATTCCTGTGATTCCACAGTGTGTTACTATTTTGTGTCAAAACCACTATCTTTCTGATAACAGAGCTGGCAAGGGAGCTGGAGCCTGTGATTTTAAGAAGTAATCTTTCTTCCTGCTTCTCAGGTAACCCTATTGAAGCAAGGGCCTTTACAGAGGAAACCTCCACATTACAAAGATGTTTTTCTTCCCATTGATGATGATTTCATTTTACATGCTCTCAGAATTCCCATTGTAGTCGATTTCAGTGTCCCTTGAAGGTTATTACAGGCCCAGCCTGGGAGTAGGGTGGCTGCATTTCATAACAGCTCCGGGGACCACTAACAAGGGCAGTGTTTAGGGGGGTGGGATGAATTAGGAGATTGGGATTGACATATACACACTACTGTGTATTGTATAAAGTGGCAGAGAGCCCAGCGTTCTTGCCTTGCGCCTTCCTGCTGTGATCTTGGGAAAGCTACTTGTGATGTCATGCCATGCCGCCTTGACCTTGGGTTGCTGAGACCCTAGCAACACTCCCCACCGGGCTGTGGATCCAGACTTCAGTACATACTTCGTGCCAGGCACTGCTAGGAACTGGGCTCATGCAGCAGACAAGACAGAAGTGGCCCTACTCTGTTGACCCCGAAAGCCTGGCCGGGAACACGGGTGTTATTTACCACAAGTTGGGGAGTTGAACCATTTCAGCCCCAGAGCGGCGTGGCCTGGCCCGGCTTATGCGCTGAATATTCCCCCACCTGCCCGGAGCATCTGCCTCTTCAGGACCTCGGGTCAGGGCTAGTTCTGTGGAAAACACACACAGCAGCAGCAGCAGCAGCAAATGAGAGTGGCTTGGCTAATGGGTCGCTTTGGGACATAGGTGATCTGGAAAATGTGTCCACGTTTCTTGAACAGAGGCAGATTTCAGAGGTGGTGCCAATCTTCTTACGGTTTATGGCATATGCTACTGAAATGTGAGGGTGCTGGGCACCCTGGCCTCCAGCCTGCGTCCCCCGATGCAGTTCCCACACCTGGAAGGGACGTCTGCCCTCTGTCGCACCAGGTGTTCTCATGGAGGCTTTGACAGTACATGCTTACAGCACTCAGGATTTTCCAATGCCTGGGACCTGGCACTGGGCCGACTCCGTGCCACTTGAGGTGAGGCACTGGTCCCCCTGGGCACTGACATCCCAAGGCTTGCCTCAGCGAGCTGCTCTGGTCCACGTGGTGAGGGTGTTGGAGCAGCCTCGTAGACCAGTCATGTGACCTAACCTCACCACCCAAGGCACAGATCTGAGTTCCAGGACAGAATAGGTGATGGAAGAGAAAGCGCCTCCTTCCAGCACTGCTGTCCGCCTCCCAGGCCCTGGAGGTGGGCCAGCCGTGGTGGCTCTGGGCCGCTGGGGCAAAGCTGCAGAGCCTGGTGGTAAAGCTGCAGAGCCTGGTGGTGGGTGAACTTGCACAAGAAACTGGCCCCGGAAGGTGGGAGCTGAAGGCCAGGCAGGATCCTCCGTTTGTTCAGTCGTCAGTGGTCAGGAGGCTTCCACTGTAGCTGCGCTGCCAGGCCTTGAGGTGAGACCGAGCAAGCAGGCAGCCTGCCCTCAGAAAGCACAGGATTTCCCCACTTTTGTGACACGAAAGGAAAAGGCACAATAAAAGTGTATAGAGCGACTTCCCTGGTGGTCCAGTGGTTAAGACTTCAACTTCCAATGCCGGGGGTGCGTAGGAGAGCTAAGACCCCACGTGCCTCACGGGCAAAAAACCAAAACAAGCAATATTGTAACAAATTCAATAAAGACTTTAAAAATGGTCCACATCAAAAAAAAAACAAAAGTGTATAGAAAAAGCACAAATACCTATACGGGCCCTAAAAGTGGAAAGGTACACAGCAGATTTTGGAGAACAATTCTCTGAGTGAGTTTCCTGTATGCTATCCATGTTTTCCCTGTTTCTGTAACGGTTTCAGTTGTCCGCCAAATACCAGTCCCAGGTGTAACGTGGACCGTCACGGGGGGTGTCCTGGAGAGCAGGGCGCCGCATGGGCTCTCGAGCCTGACCTGGGTGTGAACCAAGGGCTCTGTCCCTTGGGGCTCCACCTCCCTGAAAAGGGGCCATTAGATAAATACGAAGTTCTTGGCCAAGTCTGTGGCACTATTTTTACCTTAAAAACAAACACATGTCACCCAGAGCCCCAGAGGTCTGCCAAAGGCTGTTCTGCTCTGTGTGGTCTCAGAACATTGAGCCCGGCCTTTGTGTGTCTTGCGGGATCTTAGCTCCCTGATCAGGGATTGAACCCGTGCCCCGTGCAGTGGAAGCGCAGAGTCCTAAGCACTGGACTGCCAGGGAATTCCCATTCCGGGTCTTCTCATAACCCCTCCTGGGACAGACGTGAATGACATCTAACCAGAACTGTGACCCCGGGGACAGGTCAGCTGCACCCCACGTAGGCAGGGAGCTGCTGCAGTTTTTGGACAAGGATTTCTCACAGCAACTTTCCAAAAAAAAACCATCCCTTTTTTTTTTTTTCCAGTCACATTAATTTTTTCTGATAAAGCTGCGCACAAGTCATGTGGTTTACTTGGAAGCGAAAGTTAAGAGCCATATTCTGCTCTCAATCCTTTTTCCCCTGAGAAGAAGGGAAAGAAGGGTCCAGGTGTACGTGCTTTGCGGGAGATTTCCCGGCCAACGAAGGAGAATTTGAACAAGTGTTTCCTTGACAAGGGTCCCTCCCTCTCCCGGCTCACAGGCTTCCCGGCTTCACAGCCTCCCTCTAGCCACCTCGCCGAGGCCAGCCCTGCTCCTGGGCGCACGGGGCTGTGGGTCCCCGTCCAGGGCCCCCGCCCCCTCCAGACTCTTCCGTTGGGGCGGGGGCTAGCAGCCCCCCTCCCCCCTGCTCCCCCCGCTGGCTGGCCTGCCTCCCGCCCGCTCCTCTTCCTCCCAGGCGACCCCACGGCCGGCCGTCCCCAAAGTGCACTGCAGAGTGGAGGCTGCCCGTCCCACGGTGAGCTCTCCTGGTCTGTGCGGCCTCTAGAGCACCTGTTTTGGCCGCTCCCCTCGGCCTCCTTAATCTGTCCCAGCACCAGCTCCCCACCCATGGGAGCACCTTAGCCTCGTCTCTCCCAGGTCCCTGGTGCCTCCTCTCCCTCCCTCCCTCCCTCCCTCTCTCCCTCTCTCCCTCTCTCCCCCTCTCTCTCTCTCTCTCTCTCTCCTCTCCCCCTCTCTCTCCCCCTCCCCCTATCCCCAGACCCGTATTGTCAGATAGCTGGGGGCAACGCTTTGCCATGCAAGGGAACGGATCACAGATTTCGGGGATTCGGACGTGGGCGTTGTGGGGGCAGGTGTTCCGCCCAGCGCACGCCGCCTCCGCCTCATCATCCCCCCACGCGTGCCAGGTTCTGGGCCTGCCCGGTTAGTTGCCCTGGGCGCAGACCGCGGCCCCCTCCCTGGGGCTCGCGCTCCCCTGCGCCACAGCACCGGCTCCTCTGGACCCTACCTCGCAAGCCTCTCTCGTTCCCGCCCCCCAGCGGGGCTCCACCCTTCTCAGGCCAGCCCCGCCTCTGCCCCTTCTGCCCCGCTCCATCAGCCGCCAGAAATAGTCATGCTGCAGACTCCTGACTGTATTCCTAGAAACCGCAAGCTCTCTGCACATATTTTTCAGTTTTGTGTTTTTCTTCCCATGATACGTACTCTGAGTCATCTTGCCGACTGCTTTCTAACCACAGGATTCCTGTGTGCATCGAGTTTTGGAACCAGACAGGCAAGCGTGACGCAGGGTAGCATGTGCTTATTCGAAAATGGCCAGTCACCCTACATCTATCTGCCGGAACAGGCAAAACTTCTCTTTTACAAGGAAAATGTGCAATTGAAACCCCGTTTTCGTCAAAGAAGCCCTCAGTTTCTTAAGTCAGTGACTACGTTAATACACTGTGGCAAGAGTCCCACGTGGGTACCAACCACATTAATTGTCACCAGGCAACAGAGGCCGAGTCAGTGCGTGAGCTGTGTCATCAAGCAAAAGCTGGAAACCGAAGAACGTGGGCCGTTTGGTCACCCAGGCACCAGGCGGGGCTAAGCTTCCCTTCCCCACACCTGCTTGCTGACAGTCTCTGACAGAGGCAACGATTTTGTTTCAGCACGTGTTGTTTCACGGGACAGACCTTCTGTCTGGGGAGATGACAAAATTCTCAAGATGGTTGGGATGATGGTTGACAACATTGTGAGTGAAGAGGGTAAATTTTATGTTGTGTATTATTTTACCACAAGTTTTAAAATCATCATTCACATTAAATTAACCATTTGATTATATTATTAATCTAAACTGTATTCGTTTCGTGGGCTTCCCTCTGTCTAATTTGAATTTTATTGGTGTTTTGTAAGTTACGAGGGCTGTAGGAGCATAAGCGCGTCTCCGGCCTATGTGTGTGTTGAAGTGACATTATTACAAATAAAACCTTGTCCATCCCTGGGAGTCTGAGTCCCTGT